ATAGGAGAGGATTATGTGTTACACTGGGAGAGAAAAAATGCTGCTTTATGCAAATGATTCAGGGATTATTCAAGAAAGTTTATCACCAGTTAAGAAAAATATTGAGGAACAAGAAAGAAAAAGGCGATAATCTGAAAATTGGTTTACAACTGGATTATCCGCCATTGCCAGTCCTCTCGCTATATTATGTTAACTCATAGCCTTTGGACCATGTCTAATAAATGGCCTCATAAAAACTAAGTCAAGTCAACAATTTGAGTTGTCAGGAAAACTAGTGGAGAATGACCTGGGCCCTGAGGCTAAGGGGACTAGACTCCATTCTCATGTAGGCCTCTTGGCTAAGGCGACTAAATAACTCCATTTTTATCATCAATGGACCTTCCTCAATATTTTTCCAATAATAGGTTAATTACCCCTAGAAATAAAGGAATTTTGCCTAAGATTATAGTTGCCCCACATGTTGGAAGGCATTTGCAGTTTCCAGCATTAGTATTTGCAGGCATTTGCAGTTTCCAAGTACCTGTAACTGTAGGCATTTGTAGGTATTCATGAGCCCAGTAAATAATGCTGATTTTGACTTCTGTAATTGCTGTCACACCCACTGTTGTACTGGTCTTTGGAGGGAGGGGGGAAAAGGAGGATGGGGCTTCTGTCTTTAGAATTGGATGAGCAAGAGAAATTGTGGCTGCTGATCTGAGGGGAGACTATGCCCTCCACAGCTCGCAGGTGAGAATAAAATGCTCCTTTACAATTTGAAAAAAATAAATAAATAAAAATAAAAGTGGTGTCTAGGCGTTGGCCGGGTAACTTAGTTGGTTAGAGCACCGTCCCAGTAAGCTAAGGTTGTAAATTTGATCCCTGGTCAAAACACATACAAAGATCAACCAATGAATGCATACATAAGTGGAACAACAAACTGACATTTCTCTCTGTCTCTCTCTCCTTTCCTCTCTCTAAAGTCAATAAATAAATAAATAATTAAAAAAAAAAAAAACTGGTGTCCAAGAAATTTTTTTTTTTAATCCTCACCCAAGGACATTTTTGCATTCATCTTCAGATAGAGGGAGAGAGGGAGGAAGAGAGAGAGAAACATCGATGTGAGAGAGACACATCCACCCCACACAACCCCAACTGAGGCCGGGGACAAACTGAAACCGAGGTATGTGCCCTTAACAGGAACCGAACCCGGGTCTCCCTGGACCGCGGGCCAACGCTCTAACCGCTGAGCCAAACCAGCCAGGGCTGAGGAATTTTTAATGACAAGAAAATTAACTGAAATAGGCAATATATAAAATTGAATATACGGTATGGCCCAAAAGGGCCGCACTTTGAAAAAGATCTGGAAAAAAATGTTACCATGAGGAGGAGGCAATATATAAAATCTGGTGTCGGAATGCCAGAGTTCCATTTCCAGCTCTACCATTTCCAGTTTAGTGATCTTACATGAGATATGTAACCTTTTTAAGGCTCATTTTCTTCATCTATAAAATGGGAATAATATTTACCTCACAAAACTGTTGTGAGGATTAAATGAGGTAATCTATAAGAAGCTTAATCATTAAAAATTATTTCTCTTTATCCTTTTCATTTTTTCCAAAATTTCTATAATAAATGCATATTACACTTTGGTAAGCAGCAAAAAAAGTTATTAAAAAAGATAATGTCTTTGTCAACTATCTTATAAAGGGCTATTATGAAGAAAGTACCTATTCCTCTGATTAGATAACATAAAAATAAGAGCTGAAAATGACCTTTAAGTAAGTATCATTAAAGAGTGAAACTGAGTAAGGGACACTGTGCTAGTTTCTCCCTGGGAAGGCCTTGACTCAGAACAAAGTCCACCATCTATCTTGAATGATTTAAGCATTCCAATTGCCTTGGCAGTACCTCCCTGACCTCAAACAGGTTGCCAGACCTGTCATAAAGCTTTAATTTTCCTCATTTGAAAGGGATGATATATTACCTCCCTTGGAGTTTAATGAGAAAATGTGTATAAAGTACTAAACACACTGGAAGCACTTAATGTTAGCTAAAATCTATCATTATCATCATCATCATCATTCTTTGTATGGATGAGACTTCTTGAGCTCCTGCTCCAATAATCAAAATATATTCATTTTTTCAAACCATAGTTCAATAGTGCCTTCATTATTTTCTAATCAATTGTATCTTCAAAGAGCTACTTCATTATAAAATTATCAAGGCCACAGGGCTAAAGAGAGACAAACTCTCCACTTTAAGTGATTTAGATTCACAAAAGTAAATTACATCACATTTGGATTCTTAATTAACAACATAAGTAGTAAGCCAATTCAGATGGGGTTTTTCTCCACATTGTTAACATCTTTGTATACATATACACTAGTATACAAATGAGTAAGTCTTACGTTTAAATACATCAATTCCATCAATCCACTACCAGCTATATGTAGGTCAAGGCTTTCCACCTGATGAAATTAGATAGGAATCAGTATTAAGATTTAGAAAAGCCTAAGGATCACCCTGTCTGATCCTTTCTTTTTACAAACAGATTTAGGAAATGTAGTTAACTGGTGAACAAGAAAAACATTCAAATGCTAATCTACTTTTTCAGGAATTAGTCCAAATCCTAAAAGAAACACATAATAAACCTCAGTTTAGACTTTTAAAAGGACATCAATTTTTAGCTCAGATAAAGGTGTTACTATTATTACCACATTTTAGGTGTAAGTGGGAGCTTTCTTTCTCACTTTCCACAGTACTAAATTTACAGCTTTGAATTGTTTCAAGACATTTATTTGTTACAGAGAAGGAGGAAGAGAGAAAAATCACTGGTCAGGTGTAAGAAGCTCTTATTTGACATCAAATTCAATGAATAGTCATTTATTTTAAAAATTAATCAGAGTTCATATGCACAGTATAAGACTACTATTACTATGAGAATACTTTTCTTCATATAAAAAATTTTAAAGAAAACATAAGTGGCTTATAAACCTATGAAAATATGCTCAACTTAACTCATTAAGATAAATAGAAATTAAAACAACAAAATAACAAAATTCCTACCTGACTTGCAAGAATCTAAGTCACTAGAATTGAAACAAGATTTGTCCTTGGAATGCTAACTTTATGATTTTCTAATTTAAAAACTGTTGACCATCATTTCTAGTCACAAGCAAATATGTGCTCATACATGAGTATATGTTTATATTTATATATAAAATTTTGCCCAGCCGGTGTGGCTCAGTGGTTGAGCGTCGACCCATGCACCAAGAGGTTGCCAGGGCACATGCCCATGTTGTGAGCCTGATCCCCAGTGGGGGGCATGCAGGAGGTGGCCAATCGATGTTCTCTCTCATCAATGTTCTATCACTCCCTCTCCCTTCCTCTCTAACATCAAAAATAAATAAATAGCCCTGGCCGGTTTGGCTCAGCGGTTGGAGCATTGGCCTGTGGACCAGAGAGTCCTGGGTTCAGTTTCCGCTAGGGGCATGTACCAAAAATAAATAAATAAATAAATAAATAAATAAATAAATAAATAAATAAATAAATAAATAAATAACACTAACATGTTCTGGAGAAAATAAGAGGAAAATACGCATACTTTTTTGTTGTTGTTTTGCTAACCCTTACCCAAGGATATTTTTCCATCGATTTTTAGAGCGGAAGGGAAGGAAGGAGGACAGAGAGAGAGAAACATCCATGTGAGAGTTACTTCGATTGGTTGCCTCCCGCACTACCCCAACCAAGGCTAGAGATTGAACCTGCAACCGAGGTACATGCCCTTGACCGGAAATCGAACCCAAGACCCTTCAGTCTTTGGGCCACCTGCTCTAACCTCTGAGCCAAACTGGTCCAAGCAGAAATAGGTACACTTTTATGTTATTCATCAAAGTGTAACTTCTATAAAGAGGAATTTGACAATATTTATCAAAATTATAAGTGTACATATCCTTTGATACAGCAGTTCGACTTCCAGGAGTTTATCCTACAAATGATTCCCACATAGGAGAAATACCATAGGTACAAGGATATTTACTGTAGTACTGCTTGTAGAAATAAAAAAATGGTAACAATCTGAATGTCCATTAATAAGAGACTGGCTAAAATTATAATAGATTCATAAAATGACAGACTACACAGCCAACAAATAAAAACTATATAATATTAATATGGAAAGATCTCTAAATAATATTCAATCAACAATGTGCTGCATAAAGCACCATTCGTTTTAAAATGTATAGTTAGACACATATTCATGAGCATCTGTACTATTCACTCTATTTCCTTTTACATATTTCCATTTCATTCTATTTACATGTATTATTATTTTTAATTTAAAAAATTTGTATTTATTGATATGAGAGAGAGAAATATCAATTTTGTTTTTCCACTTATTTATGCATTCATTGGTTGATTCTTGTTGCATGTGTCCTGACTAGGGAACAAACACACAACCTTGGCATATTAGAACAATGCTCTAACCAACTGAGCTACCTGGCCAGGGTTAAAAAAACATTTTTTTTTTTTTTTTTGGTAAATTTTTTTTTCTTTATTGATTTCAAAGAGAGAGAGGAAGGGAGAAGAAGAGAGAGATAGAAACATTGATGAGAGAGAACATCAACTGGCCGCCTCCTGCATGCTCCCCACTGGGGATTGGGTTTACAACCTGGGCATGTGCCCTGACCGGGAATTAAACTGGCAACCTCTTGGTGTGGGTCAACGCTCAACCATTGAGCCACACTGGCCAGGCTAAAAAAAAACTTTAAAAATATTTATTTTAAATTTAGATATCTGACCTATTGTTTAATACAAATGAAGTAATCTTAAATTTTCCTTCACTGATAGTTTTTAAATTTAAGAATCATAAAGTAAGCATTCCAAGGACAAACCTTTTTTCAAGCCTAGTGACTACATAATTAACATCGGTTCCAGCACAATTAAAATCATAAAGTGCACTTCCAAGCAGAAGCACGTATTACTTACACTGCAGAATTATAGTGGTAAAACTCAGACCTTACCTGACCAGGTCTCCATGAAGCTGTAAATAAAGACTTTCCCTTCCCTCTCCAGCACATATTTCTGATGCTGGAGTCTCTACTGTGCAAAGGACAAGATGTAAGTCAGAGGAGGAGGAGGAGGCAGAGGAGGCAGAGGAGGTGGTGGTTGTAGTGGCAGTGGACGTGTCTGCTCCATAAAGGTAAACACAGCCTCTCTTCACATCTTCTCTCAGCCAGTCTCTTTCTCGAGAACCAAACCTACTTCTCCTATTCAAACAATTTCTGCTCCCACTGCGTTTCATATTTCTCTACAAAAAAAAAAAAAAATCAAGAGAAAAATCATCAGTAGAATGAGTTAGACATGTTCAGTCCGCACCACCTCTCCGCTCCACATTCACCAATACTCTGCAATCAAATATCGCCTCCTCTCACACAGCCTTCTGAAACATGGATCCATTGCCTCCCACACGTGCCCTGACTGGGAATTGAACCTGCCACCTTTTGGTACACGGGATGACACTCCAACCAACTGAGCCACACCAGCCAGGGTCAAAGTTAGTTTTCTTTTCTTTTTTTTTTTAGTATGTTCTTATGATTTTAGGGAGAGGAAGGGAGAGCGATATAAAAATATATGTGAGCCCTGGCCAGTTTGCTAAGTGGTTAGAGCATTGGCCTGCGGTCCAGAGTGACCCGGGTTTGGTTCCTACTTGGGGTGCATACCTCAAATGCAGTTTGTCCCTGGCCCTAGTTGGTCATATTGGTGGCAGTCACTCGATGTGTCCCTTTCACGTCGATGTTTCTCTCTCTCTCTTCCTCTCTCTCCCTCCCACTCTATCTGAACAAAAAATGGAAAAATGTCCTCGGGTGAGGATTAAAAAATATATATATAAGTGAGAGAGAAACATCAATCTGCTGCCTCCTGCACGCCCCCTACTGGGGATGAAGCCCAAAACCCGGGCATGTACCCTGACTGGGAATGGAACCAGGACCTCTAAGTCTATGGGACTTTGTTCAATCCACTGAGCCACACCGGCCAGGCTATACTGAGTTTTCTTTATTGTTATTGCTATTCATGTCTCTGTCCATCATCTTTTCTGACCATTTCTTTTTCTTTCTTTTTTTTTTTAATCCTCACCCGAGGACATTTTTGCACTTATCTTGAGATAGAGGGAGAGAGAGAAACATCAACGTGAGAGAGACACATCGAGTGGTTGCCACCCACACAACCCCAACTGGGGCTGGCGACAAACTGCAACCGAGGCACGTGCCCTTAGCGGGAACCAAACCCGGGCCTCTCTAGTCCCTGGGCTGGTGCTCTAACCGCCGAGCCAAACCGGCCAGGGCCCATTTCTTTTTCTGTTTTCAGAAAAATGTCAAGAATAATAAAACAGCTCTGGCTAGTTTGGCTCGGCGGTTAGAGCATCAGCCTACAGTCTGAAGGGTCTTAGGTTCAATTCCTGGTCAAGGGCACGTACCTGGGCTGCAGGTTCAATCCCCGGCCCCAGTCAGGGTCATGTGGGAGGCAACCAGTTGGTGTGTCTCTCTCACAGCAATGTTTCTCTCTCTCTCTCTCTCTCTCTTTCTTCTTCCCCCTTTTTCCCTCCCTCCCTTCCACTCTAAGAATCAATGGAAAAATATCCTCAAGTGAGGATTAACAAAAAAATGTTTTTTAAAAATAAAAAATAATAAAACATCTGTGTATCTAATACCCAACTTTCATAAATTTTAATTTATTTTGTCATATTTAGTTCCAATCATTATTCTAAAGAACATATATACAATATATTCTTACATATACAGCCACCTGATACCCCATCACAATCACAATCCCCTCACCCTCTGCCCAGAAATACTCTACCGTGGTATTTATCATCCCAAGCATTTTCATGTTTGCCCTATATAAACAAACCTATAAACTATATATAGTATTGTTTTACATGATTTAAAAGTTTAAATCCTAGCATACTTATGTTTCACTCTGCAACATTTTTATTTGGTCCTATGTTGGTTTAGATATACTGTATCCATGCTAATACACCCAACTCATTCATTTGAATAGTATTCCACTTTTGAATACGCTGCAATGTATCTGTTCTCCTGCTGATGGCATTTAGTTTGTTTCTAATTTTTCACTGTTGGAAACAATGCTGCAATAAACATTTTTGCAAATTCAAAGTTTCTTTGCCTTATATCCCAAATAAGCAAGTACAGGATCAACACAATATTGCAAATATTTTTTCCATTCTCATCATACTATAAAAAAATTACTGTTGCCCTGGCCGGTTTGGCGCAGCGGTTGGAGCGTCCGCCTGCGGTCCAGAGAGACCCGGGTTCGGTTCCCGTTAAGGGCACGTACCTCGGTTGCAGTTTGTCCCCGGCCCTGGTTGGTCGTGCGGGTGGCAGCCACTCGATGTGTCCCTTCACATCGATGTTTCTCTCTCTCTCTCTTCCTCTCTCTCCCTTCCGCTCTATCTGAACAAAAAATGGAAAAATGTCCTCGGGTGAGGATAAAAAAAAAAAAAAAAATTACTGTTGCATTTGCCCTGGCCAGTTTGGCTCAGTGGTTAATGTCAGCCCTTGGACCAAAGAGTCCTGGGGTCGTGCGGGAGGCAACCAATCAATGTTTCTCTCTTACATGTTTCTTTCTCGCTCTCTCTTTCTCTCTTTCTCTCTCTCTCTCCCTCTCTCTCCCTCTCACTCTCTCTTTCTCCCTCCCCCTACTCTATCTGAAGATACATGGATAAATATCCTCAGATGAGAATTAAAAAAAAATTACTGTTGCATTTGATAACTTAGGCATGTGAAACTCATACACACTGTGGAGTCACTATTATCTCAAGGCAAAAACAACTGCTACAGTAATATAACAAGATCAACATTTACCTGCTCTATTTTACGATGAACCATTTGTTCTCTTTAAAAGAAATTACCACTAACTACACTGACATACCTTTCCAGTGTCATACCTTTCTGTTTCAGTAATATCCAACTACTTGTACTCCCCAAACACACCAACTAATTCACAATTCTGTGACTTGTCTGAAATGTCCTCCTCCATCTTGTGCACCTAACTAGTCATTCTTCACAATTCTACACAGATGTTTATGCTCTCTATGAAACCTTCCATGTCTCCCATCTCCATTTTTCTCCTCCTAGGTAGAATTCATTTCCTAGCTAGAAAAAATTAATGACTACACTCTCCTCAGCAGAATTTCGCCTTGAACATACTTCCATTACTATGAAGATCACAATGTGTTTTCATTATATATTTGATATTTCTTCCTTTCTTCTACACTGAGAATCGATTATAGTGCCTTAACACCAGGGTGGCACAGAAATGCATGCAGAACTCAATTGACATCATAAAAATGTATTTCCAGTCTGCACATTAGCCCAATTAGCTCTGGTAAGAAGTTAAACAAACTTGAAGAAAACACCTCCATTAAAATATTTTTTTTTTCTTTACTGATTTTAGAGAGAGAAGAAGGGAGAGGGAGAGAAAGCTGGAAACATCAATAAGAACATCGACTGGCCGCCTCCTACATACCCCCCACTGGGGATCTGGGCATGTGCCCTAACAGGGAATGAAACCAGCGACCTCTTGGTGCATGGGTCAATGCTCAACCACTGGCTGGGCAACATCTCCATTTTTTTAGAGAACCCTACTATCTTTTCTTTGTACCAGCCAAAAAGTAAATACTGTAAAATACTCTTACTGCTATTCCTCACTGGAAAACAGAAATACCTATAAATAAAACAAATATTTTTTAATTGATTTTAGAAAGAAGAAAAGAGAGATTAAAACATCAACGTGAGCCCTGGCCGGTTTTGCTCAGCGGTTGGAGCGTCAGCCAGTGGACTGGAGAGACCAGGGTTTGGTTCCCGCTATGGGCATGTCCCTCGGTTGCAGTTTGTCCCCGGCCCTGGTTGGTTGTGCAGGTGGCAACCACTCGATGTGTCCCTTTCACGTCGATGTTTCTCTCTCTCTTTTCCTCTCTCTCCCTCCCACTCTATCTGAACAAAAAAATGGAAAAATGTCCTCGGGTGAGGATAAAAAAAAAAAATGTCCTCGGATGAGGATAAAAAAATAAAAAATAAATAAAACATCAATATGAGAGAGAAACATCAATCGGTTGCCTCCCATACGTACCCCAACAAGGTATTGAACCCACAACCTAGCTATGCTCCCTAACCAGGAATTGAACCTGCAGCCTTTTGGCATATGGGAGGAAGACGCTCCAACCAACTGAGCCACCTAGCCAGGGCAAAGTAAATATTATTTTTGCAATTACTGAGATTAATACTTTAGAATAACTGTAGCACCTAACATTCAGTTTCTAAGGATAATAAGGAAAGGGGAATGAAAAGTTAGAAGATATTACCATGTGAAAAGAAAATCAAACAAGGGAGAGAGAATGGCTTCGCTGTTTAAGTTTAGGAAAACACAGGTAAATTGGTCATTTTGCACATTTTAGGGATTTGAGTACAGCTATTCAAAACCATGAAGATTATTATTGATTCTAACTTTAGATAAGTAGGATAAACCCCTGCAACAACTGGGAACCAGGTTTCTCTTCGCATCAAGAGCATTTTCTTAAAGCTGAACATCTCAGAATTAACAAAGGGCTTTCAAGTACTAATTTTATAAACACAGGGGCCATCCTATTTGTACCACTAAATAATTGAATAATTCACGGATTATTTTCAAATATTCATTATCTTTTAATCTTTGGGAAAGATCAACTGGTCCATTTGAAAATAGCATTCTATAAGCACATTTATATAAAGAAGTTCTGCACTCAGTGGAGAGAAATTTCGCTCACTGCTATTGAGAGAGCAAGTAGACACTATTCTACACAAGCATCAAAAAGCTCCTTTAGCCCTCACCAGTTTGGCTCAGTGGTAAGAGCACTGGCCTGCAGACTAATGAGTCCCGGGTTCGATTCCAGTCAAGGGCATGTAACTCGGTTGCAGTTAGGTCCCCAGAGGCAACTAATTGATGTGTCTCTCTCACATTGATGTTTCTCTCTCTCTCTCTCTTTCTCTCTCTCTCTCTCTCTCCCTCCCTCTCCCTCTCCCTCTCCTTCTCCCTCTTCCTCCCTTTCTCCCTCCCACTCTATCTGAAGATAAACAGAAAAATATCCTCGGGTGAGGATTAAAAAAAAGACAAAAAAAAAAAAAAGACTAGGAATTCCTTAAGGAACTTTACATTACTGAAACATATGTGTTGTTTATCAAAGAATGTACCTCCTGGCTATATGCTATATTCCATGGAATGAAGATAAACTGCTGAGTTAGAACTTTAGTAGGTAT